GATGGATGTATGGAAGATGGATGTATGGAAGATGGATGGATGGAAGATGGATGGATGGAAGATAGATGGATGGAAGATAGATGGATGGATGATGGATTGATGATTGATGGATGATTGATGGATGATTGATGTATGATGGACGGAAGATGGATGGATGATGGATGGACAATTAATGATGGATGTATGGATGGATGGATGATGGATGGACAATTAATGATGGATGGATGATGGTGTCTCTGGCTGCAGTCAGAGCTTCACTTCATGGTTTTGCTGCTCAGCAGCAGATCTTCAAGTGTTTCCTTGTCTGTCTTCATGCATACATTAAGGTAAACTGTGTGCTGCTCCTCTGTGTTGATTTTGGTCCTAATTAAAGTGTTAATTATGAAATCCCAAAGATATCTTCCATTTCTGAGTATAAGACACTTGTGTCATAATTGCAAAACGTTGCATAATATATTCCAGAATAGAGTAAGTGCAAGAGTTTAAAAAAGTCAGGAAGAATAATGCATCATTCAGATCATTCAGACTATTTTTCCACAACAGCAGACTGAAACAACACTCCAGTGGTTTAAGGAGAGACAGTTAAATGTCTTGAAATGGACAATTCCCTCGTATAACTTCAGCATTCTGGATTTATGTAAATCTGTGTATTTTTATTATTCCAAAAAATAATTAAAATCAATTTGAATTTTAGACTGTAGGGAACAAAAATAGAAAACTATCAAAGTGAATAATTTGAGTAAAAAATGTTTGAACTTCCTCAGATGGATGAATAAGGAAACTGTCCTGCATCATGTGATGCACGGACACATTTTCTAACAAGACTTCAACCACAAACCACTCTTTCCAGCTTACTTTTTCTTTGAGATGTTATTCATCTGTTTCTATGATAACAGTAATGGCTGCAGGGAGCGCTGACAAATTACTTCCTGTCCTCATGTTTGTAGAAGACCGTCAGCCATAGGTTGACCACCTCCTGTCTCTGCAGGCAGATGAATCTCGAGCGCACAGATCAGGTAATATTCTGCACTTAATGCTGGCATTTAAGGAACATTCCTCCACCACAGGCAAAAACGGTGCATGGCTTGGCATTTAGAAGAAGAAGATAAAACTTTTCTTAAATATAGCTCTCATCTCAGAGTGCTTTTTAGATGCCCTTAGTGAAGTCAATTATCTCCTCACACTTGCTATTACTGAGACACTCTGAGCACCTCGCACCTTAAAAGGTCTGTGAATCATGCTTTCTTAAAAATGTCACATTCTTAACTGCCTCTCAAAATGTACACCCTGCAACGTCCGTGATGGCGAACACGTGTCGGCTTCTTTTGTCCGTTTGCTACTTAAACACACTTCATGTGCCGCATGAAGTCACAGCAAATACTATTCCTTTAAAACTTGAAAACAGCTTCTTACAAATACTGAAGATCTAGTTTGCAAAGTAGAAAAAATAATAATCAGTGCTTTGAATACAAATGCAAGTTTTAGTTAGTTTATTTTTTGGCTTGCTAAGGACAGCTTTGTTCAGAGGCAACAAATCCAGAAGCTGGAGGTTTTCCCATCTCATGTACAGTCAGTGAGTGTAAAGAGGTGGGTATAAATATGCAAAACCACAAATAAGAGACAAAAACAGACACGTTTTCAGATTCTCTGTCTTTGCCTCCTGCCGGCTCCAGAGCAACACTAACATGACGGGTTGCAATAATGTAACCAAATGAGTCGCCATGTTTTTATTTTTCATGCTCAAAACTACAACTGAAATAGGCAAAGATTGAAATCGTCCCAGAGACAGTGTCAGTGTTGCAAAGCATGCTGCGTATGAATCATGTATACAGTGTTTACGATGTTTCCGAGTGTTTACGTTGTTTCTTAGTGTTTACGATGTTTCTGACTGTTTGCAATGTTTCCAACTGTTTACGATGTTTCTGATAGTTTACGATGTTTCTTATTGTTTACGATGTTTCCGAGTGTTTCCGATGTTTCTGACTGTTTGCAATGTTTCCAACTGTTTACGATGTTTCTGATAGTTTACGATGTTTCTGATCGTTTACGATGTTTCTTAGTGTTTACGATGTTTCTGATCGTTTACAATGTTTCTGACTGTTAACAACATTTCCAACTGGTTGCAATGTTTCCAATTGTTTCTGATGTTTTTGATTGTTTCCAGCGTTTCTGACTGTTTACAAAGATTCTGACTGTTCATGATGTTTCTGACTGTTTACCAAGTTTCTAACTGTTTATGATATTTCTGAGTGTGAAAATGTGTTTTGGCCTAATTTATGTTAAAATCTCTGCTATTGGCTGTAAACTGACACCATGAGTCAAAGACTATTTGAGGTGGGGGGTTGTCTTTGTTTCCCTGTGATGGACTGGAGACCTGTCTAGGTGTTCTTGTGATTATTTTCTGGGTTTCATTAACATCCATCCACTGCTGCATGAGATATTTTTCTAACAAACAGACAGATTCATTCAACCTTCATTTAGACAGATAAGTCACAATGAGCCTAGAAGACTCATTTACAAGTGAGATCTGTTTAGACAGACAAAAAGTAGTGAAACTGGACACATGTAGGAATTGGAGGTGAAAAAATTCCTATCAGACATTTTTTTTTCCTGCCTGAGAAGAAAAAACTCTGATATTAAAAAAACACCTCGCACAAACAAGCACATAATGACATAGACATTCTGCAGAGGGGGACGAGGAGAGCGGTGAGCATGATCGTAGATGCTCTTGAGGTCACTGTAAGAGTTCTGATAAAGATGTAATAATCAGTCAATGTCCTCCGGTGAGATCCGTAAACATTCACGTGGTATGTCGAGGAATGGCCAAGAATAACTACTATGAGAATCCAAGAGTCCTGAAATGATGACACACAGTTTATTCAGCTGGTTTCATCTGGTTATCAGTTGGGAATTCCTCAGAGAGGGGGTGGTGAAAGTCAGATCACATGTTCTCCAGGCAAATTCAGATAAGATGGCCTTCAAGGCCAGCCAAGGGAGCCAAATTCAGATAAACACAGTTGTTTTGGGGACAGGCAGAACATAATGGCATCTACCTTGAGTCTGTGTTGGTTCACTCAGTTCCGAAATGTCCAAATTACATGGCCACACCGATGGAACGTGACTGAGTAAAATCTCCAAGATCTGATCCATTTAGCCCAAAGCATTTGAGTCCAGGTACTCGAGACACAAACCAAGCCATCCTAAAGGCAAGCAGCGTGATCGGGTCCAAATTTGCTGTCGACGGCTTCCTTGATTGTAGATAAAACCAGCAACCAGCCAAGTCCAAAAAGCAGGAAACAGTTATCGTAAATCCAATTAAATATGCATCCTTAAAATCCACAAATGGCAGCAGAGATAGACACATCATAAAATCTTCCAGTCGATGAGATATCCAGCTGCGTGCGTGCCAACAGGGCAAATCAGCTCGCCTAAAGCCTGTCTTCTCTTCAAGAAATGTTGTAAATTGAGTTGAGGGACCAACTGATCAAAATAAGTCCATAATTATGGTTCGGAAGAAATGCAAGAGAGTCTCACAACCAGTTTCACAGACAGAGCAGCAAAGCAAAGCGGAGAGGGAGAGGAGGGGAAAGCATCCAATCTCGGCAAGAGCAAGTGGTGAAGTGAAGTACATGATCACCCACCTTTCAAAGCTGCAGGCATTAAAGACAGACTGTAACAATATAAACATAATGTTTCCATCAACATATTGACAGAGATCTTCTCCTCCAGATGCTCACCTTAGATGAAGATGTGTCACATTCCTGGCAGATCCAGCCATATCCCGTTTGTTTGGGAGATTTTTTCAGTGGGGGGTCCAGACACCCAAAGTGGTAGCAGAGTTGGCACTCGTCACACCTGAGGGAGAGACAGGAACATGAATAAAGAAACCATCTTCCTTTATTCAGAGGAGCAGCTCAGGAGTGAAAGTCCGATTGTTGTGGTCTGGGAGGGCAGCTGCTGTGGTCCCATCAAGCTGCTGACAAGACCTGCTAACAATACCATGGTGCCAACGGGACTATGTTGCTAAGAGAAGCCTCACTGCTAACAGTATCATGCTGCTAACTGGACCATGTTTTTTTTCCTCTCTGTACTCCGGTGAAGACAGACGCGTTTTCCAGCGCTCCGTACACTGCCCCCCCTTCCCTGCTTGCACTCTTTCGTCCTGTGAACCCTTAAGGAGACTCTTTTTTTTCTGCATACCTTCCTAATTCGAAGGGTCAGCTGGTCTCTCAACAAAATTGATCAACTTCTCCAGACAGGAGGACCCTCTTACCTCGATGAAAACGAATTGGATTCACGATGACAACTGTTTTTTTTGCTGTTTGGCTGGTGAATTCTGGATTGTCTACAAACTTGAGTGGATGTGTCGAAGCTCGACAGCGCTCAAAGAGCTGGAGCAGCTGTTATCAGGACTGTGGACTCTCTAGCAGCACACATGAAGGTGGGAATAATCTTGGAGAAGCTGTGAGCTCGACTTTCAGAGTAAGGAATCAATTTGGCTATTTTGGAGTTCCATCAGAGGAATATGTACCAGCAAGACTTTAAAAGGCAGAAACAGCAATTCACGAGTTCTGCCTGACCCAAAAATGTGGCCTTGACAGTGGACTTATCTCAACTTCTCCTGGCATGGTTTGAAAAAACAAAAACAAAGATTATTTGTCTGTCTCCTCAACCCTCCCTTCCCCGAGTCGTGGACATGTGACAGAGCCTCAACCGAGCTGAAGAAGAATAACACCTCTTATCTGAAAAATGGCTGGGGGGGGGGGGGGGGGGGGTTGTGTGTCTCTGGACTATACTACGACTTTCCCTTAAAAATTCAATGTCTTCACTGGCCTATATGTACATGTATAACGTTTATTTATGTTGCTTTGCTGTGGTAGGTTTTTTATGCCTCAAATCGTGCCCTGTCTAGGACAAGGTGTGAAAGATCTTTTTTTTACACCGTCTCTCCTCATGTTTTCTTCCATTTTCTCATCAAAGCAAAATGTTATTCTGAATGAGAATAACGAGGGCCGCAATTTCATAGTAGCAGCTTCGTGCACTATGTCCATCTTTCGGATGACTGTACGTACATGTTCTTGTCGTATCTCGGTGCAATGATAATAAAGTTTTATTCTGATTCTGATGTTGCTAAGATAACCTCACTGTCATCAGAACATGCCAATAGGACCATGCTGCTGTACATTTATTTCTTTTTCACTTTTGTCGCCTTGTTTCTGTATTTTTGTTGCATGCTTTGAATAAATCCCAGTTTATGTTAGTATTGGGGCTCCGAGCCCAACTCCGCTTGCATATATCTTAGATTTTTTAACGTACCATTTGGCATTCGTTAGCGTATATCTTAATTTATATCTTAGATCCTTATTTACTGTTTCTTTTTACACTTTATATTTTTGCTATTTTTGAATGTAACTGGGACTCTGTGTACGCAATTTCATTCCACCTCATGTACAACTCTGCATTTAACCCATCCACCACCAGGTGGTGCAGTGCGCGGCTAATGAGGGCACCCGGGGAGCAATTGGGGATGGGGTGTGCTGCTCAGAGGTACCACGAGATGTGCAATGACTGGGGATCGAACCTGAGACTTTCGGGTCTTGAGTCGGCTGCTCTGCCTTTCCCCCATCTCAGCCCCCAATAAAGAACCTTGAATCCTTGAACATGGATGATGACAAAGATGCACTTTGTCAGAAATGAGGTTCATGTTTTTCAAACCCTCTTTAGTCAGGTCAGTCCTTTGACATGTTCCTGTCCTGATCCATACAGAGCTGAGGTAAATAACACTTAGGTCTCCCAAAACTGAACAGAATCTGTAAGCTCATGTGGAAACAATAAGGCTAAGACAACAGACTTTTAAAAAACATAAATAAAAACAACAAAAACACACAACTAAAAGCTAGTTACAATCAAAATATTGTCCTAGAAACTAGTTTAAAATGTCTTTTGTTCAGAAGTAAAAACGTGTAAATATTGGTAAAATGGCTAATAATTTCCTCCTAAATTATGTTGCATACAAACTGTACACATGCAGACACAGACTGCTTTATGTGGCTCGTAGCTCAACATTAATTTTTTTAATCTAATTCTGTTTTCAGCTGACAGATCAAATCCGGTTGAGGACAGAGAAAACGCTTGTTGTTCTTGTTGTTCTTGTTGTTCTTGTTGTAGAGCCTCATCATGTCCACAGAATGCTGCTTTATGATCTCTGCCACTACCAGGAGAAACTGTGAACTGTTACCAATATTCCCATAAGTTTAAAACTCTATAACACAGTTTTTCAGATATTGGCACAAAAACATTGGGTTAGTAGTTCAATTTTATCCCCAACACGTATTCTGAGTGCCAACAGATCACACAAAATCTGGGTTTACAGTAATTATTTATAATATTGATTTATTAGTTACCATTTGACATCATCTCTTTAATTCTAATACCAAAATCTTATTTCATGAAAGTCTGGAAGATTTTAATGAAACTTATAGGCATTAATCACTGAATGTATACGAACTGCTGATGGAGCCAACTAACAAAGATGGCCACTGCAGCTAACTACAAATATGATTATAATTCTGTCAGTTTTGATGCTAGTATGCTAAAACTAGAAAGTTCCTAGAGAAACTTTGATGGGGACTTCCACATTGCAGCCATTTAAAATTTTTATTTGACAATACTATGTGTTGGGGTTCACTCAGCTACTATCACACCAAATTTCAGCTCAACATGGCAACAAATCAATGAGTTATAGTTTTTTTTTCCTTTTAAGCTAGTGATCATTTTGGATTTTTGGTTTGGAATCAGTATGTGTTGGAGAATGTTCTCAGCTATAACCACATCAAATTTTAGGACTGAATGTGTAAAAATAGCTGAGTTAAAACCATTTAAATATCGCTTTTGGTGGCCATCTTGTATTTTTTAATATGAATTCAGTATTTATTGGGCATTGCTCTCATCTACCACCACACAAAATTTCAGCTAAAATATCTCTAAAAATGGCTGCTTCATAGTATTTTTCCTTTTTAGCTCAGGCGGCCATCTTGGATGTTGAATTGCAATCAGAGTCTAGTAGGAATTGTTCTCAGCTACCACCAAATTTCTGCTAAGTACCTTTAAACACATCTCTGAGTTATATCCATTTGCTTGGGTGGCCATCTTGCATTTTTAGATTTGAATTCAGAATGTGTTGTTCATCACTGGTAGCTACCCCCACACCAAATTTCAGCTCAATATCTCTAAGAATGACAGCGTTATAGTCAATTTTGAGTTTTCTGAGATAGCTGTGGCAGTCATCTTGAATCAAAATGGCTCCAAGAGTTAATCGGTGTTTCGTTCAGAGACCTCTCCACTGTAGGTCATGTGACCTCATTGTGGCCGTTAGAGGCTGTGAAAAGCTATCAGTGGTTTTCAATGACAAAAATGGTGTCTTTCCTATCAAATTATGTCACCATGGTAACTCGAAATGCCAATAAAAGTAACGGCACACATCACTGTGTCGATCCGGTTGTTTTGATAGAACATTTATTGGGGTACACATTGCAGTTTGGGTCACATTAACGTTAAAGGAAGAGTATGACCCTATTCAGGTGGACAATAATAGGTGGCTGCCTTCAGGCAGTCCCCAGTTAGGTGTGGCTGTAACTAAGAGTCTTTTACTGTTAATGTAATGTAACTGTAATTACGTGATTCTCGTTGGGCAACATCTTTGTTTTAAACCTAAAACTAATTAAAGACATCTCACAGCTGCACAGAACAGTTTTATTGTTTATATCAGCAGAGTTTAATGCAGTGTGTTATTATTTTGTTCATGTGCCTTCAGATGTGTGCTTTTGGAAAAGGTTATTAAATATAAGTTTCAAAAATATTTTGCGAGCTGTAAATACTGTAGAGAAACAAATATATTAGAATAAGAATAATCTATTAAAGCAATATTTCATACGTCGCAGAGTTGTTTTAATAGGCTGGTTCGAAAAATACAAATAATGAAACAAGGTGTTGATACGTTTTATATTATTGTGGTAATCTGCTTGTGTTAGGAAATGTTTGAGGTGCTCACTCTTATTTGTGCTTGTCATTCAAACAGTACTTACTTTAAATGACTTTCCTTCTTAAGCCCTTTTTGTCTTAAACACACTGAAGTAAATTATATTTTCTGACCCTTTTTGTGGTTTAGGTTTTGTTTTGGTCCTAAAATCCCTCGCAGTGCCCTTCTGTCCTCAGTAATGAAGATGAATAGAGTTTGTGGTTGACCTCTTTGACTCTCCTGTTATCAGATTTCCAATAGAGAACGTGAATCTCCTTCATTGATTAGGACATAATTGGTTCTAATTGAGAAATGTGTGTTCACAGGGAGCAGCCAGTAAATGATTAAAATAAATGCCAGTTTATTTTGGTAATATATTTGCAGTTTAAAGTGTAAAACGGATGTACGACATGCTCAAAGAAAGCATTTTAATAATATTTTGTAAAATTATTTGACATAAAGTTTAGATGATAGACAGTGGAAGATGCAAATATTCAATGCAAATAATACTTATTACGTTAACTGAAATGATAGGAATAAACAAAACATTTAACTGTATAAAGAAACTAGCGTACATGATCTCGGTCTCGTCACATTACATATCACTCCGCTACCACAGATCACAACCCATGCATGTATTAGTGAGCGGCACTATATACAACAAGGACGAAGGTGGCTCGCATCCCGCCTGCACCTCTCTGCTTCCCGGGGCTACAGACAACGAGCCTCGCTGCGCTCTTCCTTCCCACTCCAGCGGTGGAGGGACGGGGCCCCCTCGCTCCCAGCACGGCTGCCGACCGGTGCAAACAATTATTGTTGGTATTTTATTTAGACTGAC